AAATAAAAAGGTTGAAAAGAAAAAAAAGAGGAAGAGAGGAAAGGGAAGCCAAATTTTTTGTTCTTACCTTTCAGAGATGGCAGAAATAGATCTTTTTTTTTTTTTAACTTGGGAGATCAAAAATATAGGAATAAACACATAATTTGGAGATATAGAGGTAATCACTAAAAATAACTAAAATGGCCTCTGGAGAATGAGACTGGGAAGTCAGGGAAGGGGGTAAGGAAAAGACTTTTGCTAGTGTTGTTTTGTTTGTTTGTTAAGAGAATGAAAGGAAACACCTTCACACCTTAGTAGGAGTATAGCAGAGTGATACAATTATCAATGGATTTAATTTTCTTCCTATTTCCAAATTTCCTATAACAACCACCCATTATTTTCATTATCAGAAACATATGCACAATTGTATTGATTAGGAACAAGAAATATTATGGTTGTTTAATGATTTACCAAGTTCTTACTACTCTTTGCCCTTGATCTCTGATTTATTAGAGGAGCTTCAACTGAAGAGTTTACTAAACTCAACTTTTTGTTTTTTTCCTTTCAGCACTGTGGACTGAACCCAAGGCCTCACCCACACTAGGCAAGTGCTCTACCACTGAGCTRCATGCCCAACCCTTTTTATTTTTGAGACAGGGACAAACTAAGTTGCCCATGCTAGCCTCAAAATTTTGGTCCTCCTGACTCAGGCTCCCAAGTAGATGGGATTACAGRTGTGTGCTACCATGCCTGATTTCTAAACTCAATTTTCTAAGGAGATACAATTCTATTGGTATCTAAAAAGAAGGGAGTATTGTTTGCCATATTTGATATCTCTCCATCTCTGCAAGGTAGTCTTTTTCCCAGTGTTTTATGAATGAAAAATCACTCTGGTTGAATCTTCTACTCATTACAGAGTATCTTCACCACTTCCCTAGCAGACAATGTGTAACTTCAGCTTTAATATTTTCAGGGACTATATCCCTCAGCTGCCCATTCTATTATAAATTATTTTTATTAGAAAAAGTTTTGGGAGCCGGGCGCAGTGTCACATGCTTATAATCCCAGCAGTTTGGGAAGCTGAGGCAGGAGGATGGAAAGTTCAAAATCAGCCTCAGCAAAAGCAAAGGCACTAAGCAACTCAGTGAGACCCTGTCTCTAAATAAAATACAAAATAGGGCTGAGAATGTGGCTCAGTGGTAACTGCCTCTGAGTTCAATCCCCAGTGTTCTCCCCACCTCCTAAAAAAGAGCTGGGAATGTGGTTAAGCATCTCTGGGTTCAATCCCTGGTACCAAAAAATAAAAGACAAGGAAAAGCTTTAGGATATTTAGTCAAAATCTACTTCCCTGGAACAAACCCCTCTCATTTATCTTGGTCCTGCTTTCTGAAACTTTTCAGAACAAGTTAGACAGTCTTCTATGTAATGCTTCTGCAAATACTTGAAGATGATTCTTAGATCTCACTGGCTCAACATCAAGTCCATTTTTGCTGCACATCTTGCTCTTGACCTCAGAATTTCCACAGCTGCCATTATTCATTTTTACATTCAATTACCTATTGTGTTCTGGGTCCTATACTTAGGATGTACCTTTAAGCAAACCAACTGGGAGAGTCACTTACTGGTAGGTCAAGCAAGATGACTAATTCTAGTTGAGATAAACAACACACTAATGACCAAACAACTGCAATATCAATTCAGGAGAGTCAGAGAGGGGGGAAAAAAAAAAAAAACAAAAAACCAAAGGCAGGTAGGAGAGGAAGCTGAGAAGAACAAAAAAGGGGGGAAGGGACCCAAGTTGAAGACTGAGTCTAGGAAAAAGTTCTCATAGAAGAATTTACTTTATGAGGAACTACACTTCAAATTATTTCAGAGGCAAAATCAATCATTTTGAACATTTTAAGAATAAATTAATGTATGCTTGTCACACTCAGAGTAGAGGATGAAAATTAAAACATTAATTATAAATGGATTTCCTGAGACTCTGAGTTAGGGTGGGTTATTATAACTAGAAAAAAAAAAGGTTAAGACATTGCTTTTTATTTTCTCTGTAGAAATTTGTGCTTAAACAATGGGGTATATAAAATGGAATAATTTTCAGCCATAAAAGAAATAAAGTATTGATACATGCTACAGTAAAAAGGGTGAACTTTGATGACATCTGCTGAGTGAAAGAAGTCAATTATAATAGACCATTCATATGAAATATTTATTTATTTATTTATTTATTTATTTTTTAAAGTGACTGTGTATTTTTTTTTAAAGAGAGAGTGAGAGAGGAGAGAGAGAGAGAGAATTTTTTTAATATTTATTTTTTAGTTCTCGGCGGACACAACATCTCTGTTGGTATGTGGTGCTGAGGATCGAACCCGGGCCACACGCATGCCAGGTGAGCGCGCTACCACTTGAGCCACATCCCCAGCTCCATATGAAATATTTAGAATGAGGAAATCTTTAGAGATACAAAGTAGATTAGTGGTTGCTTAAGGCTAAGTGGGAGGARGAGATAAGGGCTAATGGATTTCTTTTTGAAGGACTGAAAATGTTCTAAAATTGTGGTGATACTTGTGTATATCTGTGAACATTCTTAAAAATGGAATTATTTAAATGTGAGAATTGTATGGTATGTATTCTTTAAAAAGGTATTCTTTAAAAGTGAACTAATAAATTTTATTAAGGTGAGGTACAGGTTTGCTCATTACCCAGCCTCTTCTTGAAAGCTCCAGAAAAATGATAGAAAACCACTCAATTGATTGACTGTAATCATAAGTTCTGACTATTTCCAAGGGTGCTGAGGCATGTTTTTCAATGTTCAGAATGTTTAAAGTTTAACACAGTCCTGACTCAGCTCCTGCTCCCAGGGTGCATTTAATATCAACTTTTAACAAGTTTCTAATTCAACCTGAATGTTCAATATATTCTGGGTTCTGTACTTGGGCCAACGAGGGAGACAGTGATCCTACACCAAGCTCTCATAGACAGAGACTGACAAAAACCCACTATCAGCCCACCCTGGTTTTAATGTGAATCCCACCTCCYTTTCAAGTTCCCGGTTACTGAAGGTCTACGTATGCTCATAGAACAACAGAATCTAATTTGCCCTTCTAAAAAACTGTTTAAAGATTAATACAGGTAGAAAAAAAAAACTAACAAAAGGAAGCAGATGGGAGATTTTATGAAGTAACTTCACAACTTTAATTGAAGGCCTTAGCTCTGTAAGATCCCTTCCTGACTTAGTCCTGGACTTTCTAGCATAGCTCCTGTCTTTTGCATTACTTCCCTACTCAGGCTTGTTACCAGGCACACTAAGCCTTCCTCTTTCCACTGTGAATGATCATCCTGACTCATGGAATACTCTGGGAAAATAGAAAACCTATTTCAAATCCAAGTTTTGTGAATGAGTGATGGTTGGATTGCCTGTATGGTACAGAAGTCATAGCCTGTGGTTCATTCTCACCTCATGGTAGGTGAAACTGAATTACAGTCTCCTGATTTATTAGAACAGCTTAAAGACAGATGATCTAGTGTTCACTTTTCAAGTACCAAAAGGAGAATAACAATTTGACTGTCCCACTCACTACTTGTCATTTGTTTTTAGGGAGCCTAATACCCATAAGAATGAAGAATCACTAAGTTTATGCATAAATTAAAGCTACTTTGACTAAGAAATATGACAAGGGGCCAGTGAGACATAGGTTACACTCAGAGGATGGCTGTACCTGAGACAGCAGCACCTGGAAAATCTTATTGAAGACAGGGAAGAGGACCCTTAGAAGATGTTTCTATTCTGTACCAAGGAATTAGAGTTGAAAATAGTGGGTTACTGTACCTGCTTAGCAAGGTAGAATTTGGTTATAGGAGATCTCTTGGTCCTAGATTTATATACATGGAGAAGTTGCCATGGGGCCAGGAGCCAAAGGAAACCCAAAGGAATCCACACCAGAACAGTTTGTTCAAAACATAGTGGCAGGTCTGCCTCCGGTCTTTCCAGGAATGAGGAATTCTGGGGAGGACCAAAAGGGAAGGTTATTGGATACATGCACTTTTGAAGACAAGCCCTTCCCGGCAAACACTTGCTTCCAAACAATTTTATTTCAACCCCATATTCATATTCAGCTTTCCCCTTTAACTATCTTGTATTTTCCTGTTTATCCTRATTGATACAAATTCACCATTTAATGACATTTACTGAGTTTTCTAGTCAACCCAAACTCTAAAAACCTATTTTCTTTTGAATTTCTATAATAGCTATTCTGAGTAAAACTCAACACAACATTTGACAAATTATAGGAAGAAGAGGGACTATTCCTTAATCCAAAGGGGAGAATAGATCCCTGGGTATAAAAGAGTTTTCTTATTCAGTTTCTAGCCCTAGTTGAACTCACTGACAAATAGTCAAGCATGCAGACATCAGATAGGCAGAATGTTTAGTCATACTGACATTTGATTTACAATAGCTCAGAGGCTTATATCAAAACCAAGCATTCCTGGCCAATTTCAGCACAGGAAGGACAATGGCACTATTGGACAGAAACTCACTTTGCCAGCAACTTTTGTACTAGTCTCTGCATTCTGTAATAAAGTATCTTGTGGGGTGGAGGTGCAACATCAGGTCTTATATCTGAGTCTCTTCCTGTAAATATTTTTAAAAATTTTTTTCATATGACTATTGGTAGACTCTTTGAAGAAAAGATTAAAGTGCTTTGATAAGATGATTTGGCAGATAATTCTTAGAATTTTCAAGAGATGGCTTGTCAAGATAGTGGGGCCTATTTAGCCCCACCTTCCCATGGTATCCTGTCCTGGCCTTGAGGGCTTTGGGGCCCAGCTTATTCCTACCATATGAAGAGCTGCTCATGTGCTTTACTATCTCATTCCTGCTCCTCTGATCTCTATGCAATGTTATCCACCTTCAGAATTCTGAAGATTCCTCTAAGATATTTAAACTATATCAATCACCCTAATTGACTCCAGGTATTTTCAGATGACAAAATCACTGGGTCCAAGGTCCTTTCTCATTTTCTGTTATACTAAGCCATTTGGTACTGTTGATTATTCTCTGTTTGAAAACTCTTTGCTTTCTGTGGTTCCATGATGGAAACTATGCTTGTTCATTCCCTAAATACCTGACCTCTCCATCAGTGCTGTTTCTTTCTTCCCATCTCTAAAAACAAGATTGTCCAATTCTAATGGTTCATAAGTTATCACAGTTCTCATAATGCCCAAATTTGCATCCCTGGTCTCAGTTTCTAGTCCATACTACTAGTTGCCATTTCATCATATTATCATTTCATCACTAACATATCTCAACAAGACTCAATTGAGGACCCTCTACTGTTAGGTCGGTGGCAGCGACTTGGTGGCGACTTAGTGGCAACTTAGAACAAAGCAGTCCTCGCCGGAAAAGAACATCAATCAGATGCTGGTGGAAATGCCTGTCAATCAGCCAGATCTCCTGAYTAACGCCTGTCAATCAGCAGGGCCCCCGGCCAATCCTGGAGTTCAGCCAACTCCCCTGACCAACTCCAAGGGGGCAAGAGACCCTAGAGACACCTTTTCCTGTCCCAAGCCCTTCCCTTCCTGCTGTAAGCCCCATAAAAGTCCAGTCGGGTCGAGCTTCCACGCGGTTTCTCCTCAGACCCTTCCCCTGTCCCCTCTGTGGGTCTGATCGAGTTCCGCCCGGGAGTGATATCTCAATAAAGCCTGTTCAGCGGCCCTGTTAAATCTGCCTCCTTTGGCTGCTGCGTGCCTTGTCTGATCTGACATCTACCCCACAAAGTAAACAACAATTCCCATTCCTAATGCTGAAGAAATTGGAATTTTTTTCTCTATTTCTCTGCAGTTAACTTGTCCAAAAAACAAAAAACGAGTCTGGGACACAATAAGCATTTGTTAAAAAGAATAAATCATATTACCTTTCCTAAATGATATAACTTCTAGAGATATTATGAATATCAGGCTTTTAAAAAAATCTGAGTTTTAGATCAACTGCACTTATGACTTTTCTGGTTCTTTTTGGTGGCCACTCTCACATAATGTATCACTTGTTCTAAGTTTAAGAAAGTAAACAGGATAAATGTGATTTCTCACCCAAAAAGTAGAGTTGCAGAAGTTTTCCACCATGATCCCTGGAGTACTTCTGGAGTGAAAACTTCTCACTGACTCTTCTTGTTTCTTGTTTTCCTCWGAGAAGGCAGATGAGAAGTGGCAATGTGTTATTTCCCATTCTGATGTCCCGATCTTCCAAATAAAGGCAGGTATCCTGACCTTTCATCCCAACAACTTAATAGTTAACCCTGCCTGGATGCATGCTTACCTCATTCCAGTAGATAGACATGTGACAGATAGACTCACCAGTTCTCAAAGTTGCCAGAGGGCCTCTGTATCCTGGCCATATACAAAATAAACCACAGCAAGATTCCAGCAGAGCCAGCCAGCATATCAAGAGTACAATCTATTCTCACTCTCCTGAGGACACACATGGCCCACAAGGGGCAGCATCAATAGAAGGACACACATCCCTAAAAGTGCAGCTTTACTTCTGTTTGAAGTTCTCAGAGTTTATAGACATGTGAAATATGTACTCCTCTGTATTTTTTATGAAGAACATAGAACCTAAAACATGATTAAAAATAGAATAAACTATTTTTTAAATCAGTTTATAAAATAGCATACCCAGTGTGAAAAAATATGTAATCATGTGTTTATGCAACAAAAATTTCACCTTCACTGGTTGGATTGCGGGTGATTTTTAATTTTCTGTTTTACTTGTCTATGTTTTCTGGGTTTTATTTTTCATAATTACCGGATATTTATTTGTGTAGTAATATTTAGGCAATTTTGTGGTAAAAATATATAACATAAAATAAAATATTAACCATTTCTAAGTATATAGTTCAGCAGTGTTAAATGTATTATACTGTAATTTATCCAATCCCCAAAAGTTTTCACGATGCAAAACTGAAACTCCCTRCCCATTAAACAACTCCCTTTCCTTTCTTCTCTCCAGTAAAACACATGTTATTCTAATACAGGGCATTGCAAATTAACAGCAGCCAGACATGCCTACCAACATATCAAAGTATCAATACCATAATTTGGAGGATCATGCAAAACCATTTTGGTCATAAACACAAATGCAAACATAGTCCTGAATCTGTGTAGTAGAATTCATTTATAAGGTCTTATTTATTTATCTATTTATTTATTTTGCCCCTGAATTCACTTTATTATTCTCTTCTAACTGAAGATTCAAGGTATACAACTGAGCATTGTTATATTTTTATGAGGCATAAATAAAAATACAAAAAAAATGTTCACTACAAAAAAATCTACTGTTAGTAGGATGTAAAAAATATTCTCTTTGCTATACAAGCACAAGGCACTTAGTGACACATGGAGAGAAAAACCTGCAGCAGTAAATTCATTTTTTTTCCTTTTTCTAGAACATAGATGAATTAGAAACACTGTAATATAGAGAAATTGATGCTTTGGGTATATACTTGAYTGCATGACCAATGTAATTCTGCAACCTGTACACTCAGAAAAATGAGAAATTATATCCCATCTGATTCAAATGTATGATATGTCAAGATCATTGTACTGTCATGTCTAACTAATTAAAACAAATTTTTAAAAAAAGAAAAAATATAGAGAGCAATTTATGCTGTCCTGATGTAAGACAATCTACTATAAGGTCTTATTTAAATTATCAAAAATATGCTAGTTTTGGTAATATTACCATCAGAACAACCCTCTTTCCCAACCTCTGAAATCCTATAAAGAACTCAAGGGTATTAGAGAACAGGAAGAAACCTTTAACTCAAGAACTTATTCAAGCACAGTGCTTTTTTTCATGGTTCCTCTATAGTAAACACAGGCTGGGGGTGTGGCTCAATGGTAGAATACTTGCTTGGTACATGTGAAGCTCTGGGTTCCACCCCTAGCATGGAAAAAAAAAGCATTAAATACAATAACTTCTGTTTGGAAAATACTAGAGTCTAGATAGACAAAGTGTAACTAATTATTAAGAAGTGGTCTAGAAGGACAGACTTTGAATCATTTTTAAGAATACTAGGAAATAGAGGAATAACGATTTGCCAACCCCAACAAACCACGATTACAAAAAAGATTACCTTAATGTGTGGTGCTCATATTCAAAACCATATTAGAAGAATGGAATGGGAACATCTAGAGGCAAGACTTATTAATTCTCGGTGTTTTATCTCATGTTGAGATGAGAATAATACCAAACCCAATATAGGAAATCCAACTTTGGGTTCCTGATGAGTGAATAAGTCTGTAAATTCATTACTTTGTTCTGTGGACTGCTATAGATTGCATCTACACAGATTAATTAGCAAGGGAGTAATGTAGATTTTAATGTGTACATTCATGTTTTAATGTATGCTTTACTGCCATGTCTAAGGTTAACCAGCACCTGTTTTGATCACTTTAAATTCATAAATGATAAAAATTTTTGCCACTAGTACCAGTGCATATTTTCTGAATTATTAACATCTGAATGGTGACATTTGGGGTTTTTTTTKGGGGGRGAGTACCAGGGTTGAATCTAGGGGTTCTTAATGCTGAGCCACATTCCCAGCCCCTTTTATCTTTTATTTTGAATTAGGGTCTCACTGAGTTGCCTCGGGCCTGGATAAATTGCTAAAGCTAGTCTTGAATTTTTAATCCTCCTGCCTCACCCTCCCAAATTGCTGGAATTACAGCATGCGCCACCACAGTCAACTGAATAAGTGACACTTTATTGGAACTTTCATTGTTATTTTCATATGAGACCATTTTCTTGTGAGATATCTGATGATATATTCCATAAGATAATTTTCAGTTTTAAACTTTCTTCAATGAGCATATATCATCCTATGGCATAGTTCTTATAAGGAGATAATCTTAAGATCGACCTTCACATTTTTCTATGCCTGTAAAAGTGTTTAAGTGATTTAGGCCTTAGGATGAGGTAGTGGTCAAATATAGCCATATATCTGACTATAGGGGGTCAGATGTAGTCATGACATCTATATAGCTCCAAATAGAAAGGAAGTTCCAAATATTTACCAGACATTGTAAATATGATGTGATAACAAAATATCAAGGATCAAGGAGAAGAGTGACTCTTAAGTATACAGTGTGGCATGCATGAGTCACTGCAAACTGTCTTTGCCCTAATCATGTATACTGGCACTTATATTGCTGTAAGAACCAAACATTATGAGCCAAGTGATATAATGAAAAAGGAGTACATACTACCACCAATGAAGTATCCTAGTTAAAAGACAGACACTAAATCTGGTCAAACTCTAAATCTAACTCCCACAGGAATGTCCTAAATAACCCCATGGGATTCTATGATATAAATGATTCCACTCCCCCCCCCCCACTTTCTCTTTTTTTGTGGTGCTAGAAATTATACCCAGGGCCTTGTGCACACTAAGCAAACACTCTACAACTGAGCTACATCCCCAGAACCCCCCATTTCTTAATAAATCAACTAAAGGAAGAAAATGAATGGAACAGGGACCGGGGTTGTGGCTCAGTGGTAGAGCATTTGCCTAGCATACATGAGGCACTGGGTTTAATCTGTGGCACCACATAAAAATAAACAAAATAAATGTATCATGTCCATCTACAACTAAAAAAAAATTAAAAAAAGAAAAGAAAATGAATAGAACAAATAGGTTAAAAGAGGATCAAGGGACTTATAAGCAATATGTGAACTGTACGGACCCCGGAACTGATTTTACCAACTATCTAAAGCAAAGGAAACTAATAAAATCGAGGACAACCTACAAAAGGGGAGAAAATATTTGTAAACTATATATCAGATAAGGGGTTAATGTCTAAAATATATAAGGAATTTATACATCTTATACAGCTTGAAATTTATACAGGAATTTCAACAGCAAAAAACAATCCAATTACAAATGTACAAAGGACTTGAGAGACACTTCTCCAAAAAAACACATAAATATGGCCAATAGGTATACAAAAGAATGCTCAAAGTCACGAGTTATTAAGAAAATGCAAATCAAAATCACAACGAAATATCACCTATTAGGATTGTTACTATTAAAAATGCAAAAGATAGTATTGAGGATGTAGCTTGGTGGTAGAGCTTGTGGAAGCATGCAGGAGGCCCTGGGCTCAATCCCCAGCAACACACACACACACACACACACACACACACACACACACACACAAAATCAATAGTCTAAACACAGTTGACAGAGGAATACTACTCAGCTCTAAAAAGAAATGAGCTATCAAACCATGAAAAAATATGTAGGAAACTTATATGTATATTGCTAAATTAAACAAGTCAATCTGAAAAGACTACCTTCTATAGAATTTTTAGGGAAGTAAAATTATGTTTTCGGATACTATTATGGTGGATACATCTCATAATAAATTTGTCCAAACCCACAGATTATAATAAACCAAGAATGAACTTAAATGTAAACTATGCTTTAGGTGACAATATTATGTCAACGTCAATTGAAACAAGTGGAGCATCTTGGTGAGGGATGTTGAAACTGATAAAAGGCAGGCTGTTCATGTGTTGGGGCAGGGGGTTTACTGGAAATTCCTGTACCTTCAGCTCAATTTTGCTGAGAACACAAGTTGCTCTAAAAGTTAAAATTTGTTTTTTTAAAAATAAGTAAATAAACAAATAAATAAATAATGGAAATCTTAAAAAAAAAATCCAGTGGCAGAACAGGATGTGTGGCTCCTTCTTGATAAAAAAATTATTTATTTACATTTATAGATTAAAAACTATAAATGTTTATACAAATGAACTGATAATAGTGGTTATCTTTGGGGTGCAAGACACTTTCAATTTATACATTATGTATTGGAAAGCAAGGAATGAATATCAAACTCCTAAGGCCAAAAATAGGTTCTAAAAGAACTTACAAAAGTTACTGTAGAACCTTTATCTGCAGTCCTTTTGAATTACTGAGAATAGTAGAAGTATTGAAAGACTTAATTGGGCAAATGCCTTAATATTTGAATCATAAATTTTTAAAATATTTTTAATATTTGTAATAGGATAGGAAGATGTTGAAAAATCACAGATAAGAAAGATTACCTACTAGAAAGATCTGGAAAGATTTATTGATACAAAATGGTTTTTGATCTTTAAAAGATGATCACTARGGTGAGTACAGGAGCAGCAGCAGCGGCATCTAGTTTACCCACCACCATCTTCACTTGAGCTGTGCACACAGGCAGATTTTTGTTTATGGACCAAAGGGCTCGGAATATGCCACCCCAAAAGATGCTACTTTGGCATAAGGAGAATTTTGATCTAGAGACAACTAAGAATCAACAAAACAGAAACAAGCACTCTACCCTCCTCCTATTTGCCTAAAAGCCAGGCACAGATTACCCTTTGTGAAGTGGCTCCCCACCACCACTACCAGAAAAGGCAGAATGAGAGAGGGCTCCAGATTCAGCCTAGAACTAGCACTAAGAGGAATTTGCATAACAAAGTTTATTTTAAAGTAAACTTGCTCTTCTATTAGTCCCCCCCACACACACACATATTTAYCCTCCTACAATTTACTGTACTTAGAAGCTAAAAGTGCTTTTCCTTTGTCTTGTCACTTTTGCACAAATGTATCACCCTTTGTTAAAATGGTATATAAGCCTCTGGGTCTAACTGGCTCATTGGGGTTTTCCTTTCACTTCTATGAGGACTCCATATGCATATCAAATAAACCTTATTCTCTTATTAAAAAAAAAAAGATAATCACTAAGAACCAGAATGAATACTTTAAGAACAAAGCACAGAATCAAGTTGAATTTCCTTTCCTTATATGATCATTAAATTGGCAGTTGGCATCATGTATCTTGAGTTCATCTGACAAGATAAATCATTATTCCTACACAGTTCAAAAAACTTGAACTGGATGAGAGCATATTTACAAGGATCTTTAGCTGGTCTAACAACTATACATTCAAAGAAATTAACAGAATAACATTTCCTGAGGGATGTCTACTGGCATTCTTAGAGAATCTGAAGTAGCTCCATGACCTGCAACATTTTGATCAATGACTTAGAGGCACTAAGAGAATTTGTATTTGATGGATGTCTATTATATGTGAACATCTTTATAGGTTTATTAAGTAACAAATACATTGCACTCAAAAGATTTCTATGTAATTTAATTCTTCCAACAATTTTATGTGGTAGGTATTTTTATTCTGATTTACCAGTTGAGCAACTGAGGTTCAGAAAAGTAAGGAAAATAGTCCTACATCCCATAATTTACAAAGAATAATGCTCTATGTTCATATGGCAGAAACACCAACAGATACCCTCCTG